GAGTGTGTGTATGTGTGTAATATACCAATCACGTTTTGTTTATAATTCTTCTGAGTTGATGGACACTTGGGTTGCTTCCATCTTTTTGGCTATTGTGGATAATGTTGTTATGAACATGGATCCCTGCTTTCAATTCTTTGGGGTAAATACTCAGAAATGGAATTGCTGGATCATATGGTAGTTCTATTTTTAATTTACTGAGGAATCACCATACTGTTTTCTATAGCGGCTGCACTATTTTACATTCCTGCCAACAGTCTACAAAGGTTCTAATTTCTCCTACATGTCTCCAACACTTGTTATTTTCTGTTATTATTATTTTTTTGACAGTAGCCATCTGCAGGGGTGTGAGGTAGCATTCATTCATTCTTCATGCTAGGTGGGTGGGAAGAGGGAAAAATATAAGCAAGATCATAGACATAACCCTTGTTTCAGTCTTAAAATTCATTTAGGGAGGTGAGATCATAATTTTAAAGTCAGCATTTTCAAAGCAATTACTATGTTCCAGACACTGTGCTCAGTGTTTCTCTAATTCAGTCCTTTCAGCAGCGCTGTGAGGAAGGTAGGATTGCCGCCATCTTGGAGGGTGTGAACTTGGCATGTCCCAGTGATTTGCCATTTGTCTCCAGGTCAGAGTTGAAAGGCTAGATGAGCCACCTGCCACTCTGAAGCCTGCGCTCTCTGTACAAACCAGAGAATGAGCTTAACCTGATCTTGTTAGCCCAGTCTTGCAGGGCTGGAGAAACTGGTATGGCCTACAGAGGTAAGGACAGGTGGTGCTAGGCTCACATTGGAAATGTTAGTCATCTGCTGTAATACACTTTTACCCCATTGTCTAGAACTAGAACATAATTTGTTTGTAAATGGAAGGGATAGAGAATCCACCCAGAGATGCCCTCTATCCTCTCCATTGCTATTTTTTTTTTTAATTTTTTTTTTCCAACGTTTATTTATTTTTGGGACAGAGAGAGACAGAGCATGAACGGGGGAGGGGCAGAGAGAGAGGGAGACACAGAATCGGAAACAGGCTCCAGGCTCTGAGCCATCAGCCCAGAGCCCGACGCGGGGCTCGAACTCACGGACCGCGAGATCGTGACCTGGCTGAAGTCGGACGCTTAACCGACTGCGCCACCCAGGCGCCCCACTCTCCATTGCTATTTTTACAGAGAAAGGAAAAGGGCCGCCAGGTCTCTACCTTAACCAATGTCATATAGACAGATGCAGGGAGGGGTGGGAGACCAGGACCTGAATGCTGACCTAGTGACAAGTCTGATTCTTGTTCATTCTGGGATCATATTGATGTTTAATGTCTTCACTGAATATCTATATCTTTACCTATGTATCTCTATCTCTGTATCTTTATCTCTATCTATATAAATGGATAGCCATCTATATCTCCACTGAATCTCTCTCTCTCTCTCTTTCTCTCTCTCTCACTCCAGGTTCTCCACATGGCCACTGAAGGAATTTTTGGTCTAGACCTGCCTGAAGAGTCTAGCGAACCCTCCCAACTTCGAGCTAGTGACAAAGGCCAGCAAGCCCTCATAGAGGCAAAGGAAATTGGGAGCTCCACCAGCAGTTACAGCTTTAGAGCGGGCTTGAAAAAGATGAGAGTGGGGAAGGCACGTGGAAGGCAGCACATACCATTTATCCGTGGGTTCTTCAATCTGGACCGTTGCAGGGGGCTCCCTAGAGGCAGTTCCTGTACCTCAGCTCTGATTCAAGTCCTACTGAATCCAGTTCTTTCCCACTAGGTAGGGTTTTAGGACGACAGTGATGGTCAGTTTTATGTGTTAACCTGGCTAGGCTATGGCTATGTTAAACACCAGCCTAGATGTTGCTGTGAAGGCATTTTCAGATGTGATTAATATTTAAATAGACTTTGAGTAAAGCAGATTACCCTCCATAATGTGGGTGGGGCTCCTGCAATCAGTTGAAAGCCTTAAGAGCAAAGCCAGAAGTTCCCCAGGGCAGAGGGAGTTCTGCCTGCCATCTGCCTTTGCATTTGAGACTGCAACATCAGCTCTTACCTGGGTGTCCAGCCCACCTGGCAGATTTCAGACTTCCAGCCCCCACAATCATGTGAGCCAGTTCCTTAAAATCTCTGTCTTTCTCTACACACACACACACACACACACACACACACATCCTATTTGTTGTGTTTCCTTTGGAGAATCCTGACTAATACAGCTAACCTAATAATGTCCAAAGATATATGGCCTTTGTGCTCCATATAATTTGGTGTTAGGGTGGAATTTGCAGCTGGTGGGGGTGGCTCAGCTCTCAGGCCCCGTCTCACTGGGGACAAGCCTATGGGAAAAGCCAACAGGAGGCATGGAAGGAAATACAATGCATACTGACAGCACAGTTTATGCAGTAGCCTTACAGTATACAGAATCCTAAGAGCAGCTTGCTTTGAAATAATCTTTTTAAAAAATCTTGTTCTTTTCCCCATTATAGCTTTTTGTCTAATCATCTTTCTGATGCTGTTTGTTTTCCCACTCTTGTGGGGAAACTGCAAGATAGTGGCCCTCGTCCCCAGGCTTATTCATGGTGGGGGACATCAAGGCAGAAATGGTCCATCTCTGTCCTATAGCAGAGCTCATCGCCCAGCCAGCTGTACAGGAGACAGCAAGGGAGGCACATTACAGATGGTCAGAGGCCGGCCTGAAGCGATTGAAATGGAAGTTCTGGTAGGAGAGAGCTACAGAGGCAGCCGCAGGCAGAACAGGAGGGGAGGGGATGGGCCTGAAGGGGAAGAGAAGGAGAGCCTGGGAAGCCTGGCCTCCTTTCAGCAATATCCTTACCTTGAGAGCCACGAGACAGAGCGCAGGAGCTGCAGGGAGGGGATGGTCCCCACTGGCAATTTCTCTCCAGGCGCCCTGCACATCCTCTCCGGTGACAGAGGTAGCTAAGGACCTCTTATTCCCGTGACCATCATGGATGCCAGACATACAAGAAATGACACCGATCACTTTACTGTGTCCCGAGAGTTGAAGCTATACCCACACCACCCATTTTACTCCTACCTGTGGTACTAAGAGAAAGCTAACTCCTGTAGCCGAGTTGCTATGCCAAATGGAATAAGACATATATTGTCTATTTGCTTATCTATAGATATAATTATACATATAAATGCCCTGCATTATAAATTTAAAAAGGTTATGAGTTGTAGCTGTTGGCATCATTTTCAGACAAAAAGGATAGGATGAGGGAATGTTTGCAAGTGAGTTTTTGTGGACGGACATGTGTGTGGTGTTTAGAAGTCTCTGTGAGGGGTAGTGCAGGGCCCCTTACTTCCTTCTCCTACACTAAGTCAGGGTTCCTGTATAATATGTAAATTATATAGTTGTAATATACTTTTGGGCATCATTAAAAGTTTTTTTAATGTTTAGTTATTTATTTTTGAGAGAGAGAGAGAGAGTGAGCATGACAGAGAGAGAGAGCCAGAGATGCAGAATCCGAAGCAGGCTCCAGGCTCTGAGCTGTCAGCACAGAGCCTGATGCAAGGCTCAAACTCACCAGGGGTGAGATCATGACCTGAGCCGAAGTCGGACGCTTAACTGACTGAGCCACCCAGGCACCCCTACTTTGGGTTATCATTTTGGGACGAGTAGAATTATGAGTGTTCTGTAACACGTCATCTTTCCTCTTATTCAGAATTCACAGGAATGTCCTAGATGGGAAAGTCACTTTGATGAAGTCAACTAAGACACCAACAGTTCTCACAAGCCACAATTCTCAAATGGGGACCACTTGGCCCCCTGGGGGATATTTGGCAATGTTTGGAGATGTTTTTTGGTTGTCATGACTGGGAGGGGTGCCATTGGCATCTAGTAGAGGCCAGGGATGCTGCTAACCATTTTACGACGCACCGGAGAGCCCTGCAAGGAAGAATTATTCAACCCCATGTGCGATAGTGTCAGAGTTGAATCTCTGCCCAAGAACAAGTCAGCAATCCTTCCAATTGGCCCCCTTCCCAATCTTTGTGGGCAACAGGAAACCAAAGTGTCATTATCAACATCCCTGGCTTCTGTCTTTCTGGACCCCTTTCTCCTTGATGTGGGACAGCCTCCTCAGGAGAAGCTACATGTTTTTTTTTTTAAAGCAATGAAAGGAAATACTCCCATTTAGACTTGGATACCTTCAACCCTTATTTCTTCTTCAGCTTTCTTTGTTGTACCACCAACTCAACACATGAGGTGTGCAGGGGCAGTCAGCAAGAGAACTGCCACACAGTGGTGTTAGAGCCCGGCCCTCTGCATACCTCCCTTGGTCTCTAGGTAGACTTGCTCGAGGCCAGCAGGCCCAGGGCAGGAAGGGATCCAGCAAGCTGTGGCCTCCTTTTACATTTAAAAAAATGTTTATTTTATTTTTGAGAGAGAGAGAGAGAGAGAGAGAGAGAGAATGTGCATGAGTGGGGATGGGTGGGGGAGGGGCAGAAAGAGAGGGGGACAGAGCATCCGAAGCAGGCTCTGCACTGACAGCTGAGAGCCCGATACAGGGCCCGAACTCACAAACCGTGAGATTATGACCTCATGGCCAAAGTGACCTGAACCAAAGTCAGATGCTTGACTGAGCCACCCAGGTGCCCCATCCTTTTACATTTTTAAGGCACTTGAACTTTGAGGAAAGTTAGCCTAAAGCAAATGTCAGGAGACATTCAGCTTTTGTTTGAGGGCTCCCCTGGGTGAAGGAATGCCTTGCTTCAGCACAATTGTCTAGACTCAGAAATTAGAGTGTCTGTAAGGGGCCATGACAGGGGGAAGGTTCATGAAGTATACAGCTTAAAATGTCTTTCTTGACATTGTTCGGGTGCACCCCTCAAGGCCTAAGCAAGCCTTGCTTATCTAGAAGCTCCCCAGGCCCGGGATTAGGGTGGGAGGAAGCGAGGTGCAGAGGGCACAGACTCCACAGAGGCGCTCCCTTTTGGGGTCCTGTGAGTGCGGGGGCAGCACAGCACCAGCCTGAGTGGGGCCCGGCTCCTGCTCTTGCCTCACCCTCATCCTGGCCTGAGGTCCCCCCACCTTCAGAGGGGCCAGAGCTGCCCGTGCCAGTGGAAAGGGTGCGGCAGGATCCAAAGTGCTTGTGAACAGACATCCTCAGGGGCCTGAGTGATCTTGAATCTTCTTTTGTCCAGCCTTGGAGATAAGCCCTAACAAGGTGTCTTGGTCTCAAACTCTCCCTTCCAGCTCTGACCCAGTCTCTTCTTGGTCCAGATTATTTTACTTGGTTCCCTAAAATGTCTGTGTTGTCTTCTCATTTCCAAATCACTTATGCTCCACTTTCTGACTATCCAAGCAGTATCACTCTGTTGACTTTCTCAGTGTGCTCTCTTTTTATTTTATTTTAGAGAGAGAGGAAGCACGAGCAGGGGAGGGGGGCAGAGGGAGGAAGAGAGAGAGAATATCTCAAGCAGGCTCCACGCTCAGCATGGAGCCTGATGCGGGGCTCGATCCCACAACCCTGGGATCATAATCTGAGCTGAAATCAAGAGTTGGACACCCAACTGACTGAGAGACCCAGGCACCCCTCTCAGTGTGCTCTCTTAAATTTCTTTTTAAGCTAAAAAATAATTGTTGTTAAAAAATAATTGTTGTTGAAGTATAGTTGACGTATAATGTTATATTAGTTTTGGGTGTACAATGTGGTGATTCAACAATTCTCTCCATTAATTGTGTTCACCATGATTACATGCCATCACCCTCTGTCACCATACGTTATCACAATATTATTGACAATATTCCCTATGCTGCATTTTCATCTCCATGACTTATTTATTTTATTACTAGAAGCTTGTACCTCTTAATCCCCTTTATCTATTTTACCTACCCACCCTTCCTGCGGCAACATTACTTTGTTCTCCATATTGAAGAGTCTGTTTGCTTTTTTGTTTTTGAGTTTGTTTTTTTTTTTTTCTCGAGTCCACATATTAATTTTGCTTTTTTCAAGCTTATTTATTTATTTTGAGAGAGATAAAGACAGTGCAAGTGGGGGAGGGGCAGAGAGTGAGGGAGACAGAGAATCCCAAGAAGACTCAGCACTGTCAGTGTGGAGCCCCATGTGGACTCGAACTCATGAAACCATTAGATCATAAACTGAGCTGAAACCTAGAGTCGGACACTTGACCGAGTGAGACACCTAGGTGCCCCTAATTTTGCTCTTTATTTAAGGCATTTGCAAATGCTGTCATCCTTTTTTTCGCTTGCACTTATTAATTTATAACTTACTATTTGTGGCAGGCTGAATAATGGCCACTAAAGATATCCATGACCTAATTCCCGGAACCTGTGAATGTACATCACAAGGCAAGAAGCACTTGGCTATTATGATTGGGTTAGGGATCTTGCGATGAGAAGGATTTCCGATTATCTGGATGGGCTGCAAATGTGATCGCAGGGGTTCTTACAAGACAGAGGCAGAGGGAGATTTGATTATCGCAGGAGATGTGATATCTCAGGGACTCGAGGAGAGGGCCCCCGGCTAAAGACTGTGGGTGGCCTTTCGAAGCTGGAGGCAAGGATGGTCAGGAAACATACTCTCCTTCAGAACCTCCAAAAGGAAAGAGCCCTGCCAACACCTTGGACTTAAGCTCAGAGAGTGATTTCAGACTTGTGGCCTCCAGAAGTGTAAGAGAACAAACCTGTGATGTTAAGTTGCCTAGTCTGTTTTTATTTGTTATAGCAGCGGTAGGAAATGAGTTTGCTGTCCTTGTGATCTGGTAAATAGCACACATGCTTTCCTAGACTATATGTCCATGAAGGAGTCAGCATGGTTTGGGATTAAGAGTAATGACTCTGGGGCAATCAAACCTGGGTTCAAATTCTGGCTGACCCTTATAGTGGGCATCTGCCAATGTTTTGTCCACTCAGGCTTTTGAACATCCTTGCTGCATGAGGCAGACTATGTGACCTAATGGTCATTTTCCACTTGCCATTACTAACAGAACTCTGATTTTATATAGGGGGGTAAATGTGACCATCTTAAAAGTAATCACATTTCACAGTCTCCTTTGAAGCGAGAGTAGCCACTGACAGTTCTTGCCAAGTGATCATTTCTGGGAGGGGCTTCAGAGGAAGCTCTTTAAAAGGGGAGTGATTTTGACTGGCATGTACCTTCATCCTTGGACTTACCCTTTTTTCCCAGAAGGCCACACGTTGAGGATGGTGGAGTGGAAAGGTATGAATATCTGGGGTTTTAATGGAGTCACGGAGACAGCGTTCCAGCCCCGGTCTGGTCTGCACACTTCCAGGCTTCCAACTTTGCGGGAAGAATAAGCCCTTTTTTTGGGTAAGCCACTGTGTTTTGTTTGTTTGCTTTTGTTTTAAATACTTCTTTGGGGGAGGGGGCACCACACTTCTCATTTAAGAGAAACATGGTTACAGTCTAGAGGTCCTTTTTTCACACTTATCATGCCATGAATTCACAGGGACTGGGTTCCAGCAGCTGCCTTCTGTTAGTTCTCACAAAGTGTGCTTCTTGGGTGGGGCAGGCTGGCGCTTCGGTTGAACCCCAGTATCTTTCTCTTTGGCTTCCTTCTTTTCCTGGTCATTTTCCTTCACACGCTTCAACAAGCGATCTCTGCTCACAGAGTGCTTAATATACTCACTACGTACATGAATTCTCTTGGCAAAAATCCTGCCTTTGTTTGCTTATAACAGTGCCAACTGCATGCTGGGTACCACTGTAGACTCTTCCAGTTTTGCCACGATTTGTGGGGCATTTCTTTCTGAACAGCGCCCATTCCCTTGATGTCCACAATATCACCTTTCTCATAGACTTGCATATATGTGGCCAAAGGAACAAATCTATGTTTTCCAAAAGGCCTAGAGAACACATAGCCAGAGTCCTCCCTCTTTCCTTCTTGTTGGTCATCTTGGTGCGTTACTGGAAGATGGCAGATCTGGCTGAAAGGCCAAGCCACTTGTTTTTCTTTTCTTTTCCTTTTTTTTTTTTTAAGTTTATTTATTGATTTTAAGAGAGAGAGAGAGTGAGAGAGTGCACAAGTGGGAGAGGAACGCAAAGAGAGGGAGAGAATCCCAAGCAGGCTCAGCATTGTCTGCACAGAGCCCAATGCAGGGCTCAAACTCATGAACTGTGAGATCACGACCCGAGCTGAAATCAAGAAGTAGACACTTAACCGACTGAGTCACCCAGGCTCCCTATAAGCCACTGGTTTTTTTATGCCCTCTGTTACATTAACCCTATGATTTGTTATTTATTCCACTCTGTGGAACTTAGCCATTTCTTTCTTTGATTCTAGTATTCTAGTCCATTGTACATGTATCTATAACCAGGCTGTAAACTTCCTAAAGAAGGCAAATGACAAGCGGGTAGGAACACGGGCTCTGGAGTTCCATAGACCTGGTATATTTGTTAGAATAAGTGGTGCCCCTGGTAAAACAGACAAAACTCAAATTCTTTGTGGTTTCATGCAATAGAAGGTTATCTCTTGTTCACATGAAGCCCTTTCTGGTGCGCATTGTCGTTCAGTGAACTAGGCTCTTACCATCTCATAGTTCTTTACTGCCTATCTCCCTGGAGTGGTTTTCCCACGTGCACAGTTAAGCACTTGGACAGATATAGCTACTCATTAGATTGAGCTGGAAGAAACTGACAACATTTGAACAAAAAATAGCCTACAAAATGGCAGTTTCACATGATTTTGCCTAATTTTACATGTATGATTTTAAGCAAGGGACTCTCTAAATCCATTTCCTCAGCTGTAAAATGCGGTACCAACACTTTTTCCCTCTAGGGAGGTTATAGAGATTAAATAAGAGGGTGAAAGCAGATAACTTAGTAAAGGGTCCGACACACAGTAGGTGGCTCAAAGGGATAGCTACTTTTTTATGTAGTGCTTACCTCAGGATCTCTGGAACATACTAACCACTCTTGAATTATCTGAAAAAAATTTTGAGATACAATTCACATACCAAAGAATTCACCCCTTTAAAGAGTACAGTTCGGTGTTTTTATTTTCGCTACCCCAAAAAGAACCCTCATAAATAATTAGCAGTCACTTTAATTATCTTTTAACTACCACTGTAGCCCTGGAATCAATGATCTTTTCTCTTTAATATTATTTTATTATTTATTGATTTATTTACTTAAATTTTTTTAAAATGTTTATTAATTTTTGAGAGACAGAGAGAGACAGAGACAGAGTGCAAACAGAGGAGGGGCAGAGAGAGAGGGAGACACAGAATCTGAGGCAGGCTCCAGGCTCTGAGCTGTCCGGACAGAGCCCAATGTGGGGCTCAGACTAGTGAACCTCGAGATCATGACCTGAGTAAAAGTTGGACGCTTAACCGACTGAGCCACCCAGGACCCCCTATTTATTTATTTATTTATTTATTTATTTATGTATTCACTTATTTATTTATTTTAATGGAAATATCGTGGACACACAATGCTACGTTAGTTTCAGGTGTACAACCGTGACTCCACATGTCTACACGTTCTGCTCTGCTCATCACAAGTGTAGCTACCATCTGTCACCATACAATGCTATTACAATACCATCGACTATATTCCCTATGCTGTGACTTTTATCCCCATGACTCCATTCATTTTATAACTGGAATCAATTATCCTTTTTCTTTATTTTTTTAATTTAATTTTATTTTTTTATCCTTTTTCTTTAAATATATTTAAAAAAAATTTTAAGTAATCTCTACACCCAGCATGGGACTTGAACCCACAACCCCAAGATCAAGAGTCACATGCTCCACTGACTGAGCTAGTGAGGAGCCCCTGGAATCAATTATCTTTTGAAAGAATAATCTTTGTTGAGAATACCTTGCTGATAGCACTTGCTTATAGGACTCACTCTGTATTTGTTTATTTTATTGGCATGGTCTGTAGAGTTAAAGAAACATTCCTTGTTTATTTAACAACTGGTAACCTAATTTAATGTGCACGTGCATGTGTGTGTTAAGTGTATATAATCACAGACATCCTACACTGGCGCTTAGTGTAAATCAGAGTATCCCACACCAGAATAACAAAAAAAGACAAAAACAACAGCAATAATAACGTTGGTAACAGTCCTGGCTGTATGTTTAGAAAGACATAAGAAGCTGTCGTGGGGCTGTGAG